ATTTTAATTCATTGCTAGATTAGATGCAGAAATCTGCATGGCATGAGTTTGTTTGCCAGTTTTGGGAAGTGAAGGAAGAGTGGCTTCAAGATGTGTTAAATCCCATTCACCTCTTTTACAAATTTCTAACATTTGACAGAAGACTTTGCATTGCTCTGTCAAAGTTACAGTGGAGTATCTTGTCTCAAATTTAAATCTGTAGGTGGCTGTTGTGCAGACATGGAAGGGGAGATGGGCATAGAGGTCTTTTACCCCACATTGTGCCCCTACAGGGAATACACACAGTTATAATCCCTAGATATTCCTCTGTAGTGGACCTGAGATGTTCATCCTTAAGAATTCACGAGGGAAAGTGTTCCTAAGTATTTATCATACGTGCCTGCTTAAGAATATTTGTAGATTACTTCAAAAAAATTATATCTGGCCTAATAAAAAGGACATTGAGAGCTCTAACAATTGCCAACTATTGTAGGTAGCCTTCTCCACTCCTGTAGCAGTAATGTACTCTAGCTCTGACTTGTTATGTCCCTGCTATCCCTGAAACATGCCTCCCTTAAGAGGAGAGTGACACATAATGGTGTATGTTCTGAAGTGGTCATGTAGCATATCCACAAAGTTCTTGGCTGTGTCCAATGGCTCCATTTTGCTTCATGTGTGGAAGATATATTTTAACTTGTTTTTTGTAAGGTATATATATAAAGGTATTAACCCGTTATGCCACCTTTCCCGTACGTTTCATGAGACTTTAAAGTCCTAGTATCCTTTCATGAGTTATTCATTCTCGTTCAGTTGATACTTATTTTCATTCTGAAATCCTCTCACCAACCCCAGCACTTAGCTTGCTTGATGCAACTAAGAAAGCAACCCAGACATATATGGCATTGACTGACTGTTCTGACATATAGTAAAAATTCTGAAAGGAAATGAGCATTCCCATTCATTGTTGGAGTGGTTAACTAGCCACTACCTTGCTTAGGCCCTGATTCAGAAAAGGATTTAAGCACTTGCTGAACTCGTCAGTTTCCATATTGGCAGTTAAACACATGCTTAAGTGCTGTCCAGAATAGGATGCGCTCCTGAATTGTGGGTTTACTGACCTAGTAACGATAATTGTGCTCTAGATAACACAGAAACGTTCTTGATTAACCTAATACACCCACACTTGGATGACTGACCCCTGTAGTTACATATATGTGATGAATGAGCCGAAGCCTAGTCTAAGAAAATTAAAATGCACCAAATTACGAGCACCAGTGACAAAATTAATACTAAACATTTTGGCTATGGCGCTGCAACCCAGCATCACCTGATTTCTAATAACTGATACAAAGTGGCTGAGAGAGAATTAACTTTCCATTAATCAAAGAACTTTAGTGGATGGGATATGAGGAATTTTTGTACTATTTAATTAACCTTGATCCTATCTCTTCTGCTCCTGTTTACTTGTTTTGTAGTCCAAGAATAAAGCATATCTGGATTCACCCTTGTCTGGTGAGAGTTCAGAGTAGAAGTTGAGAGCAGACCCTAGGTCTAATATAGGGTATTTACACCTAAACACCAGAAAGAGAGAAAAGGAAGGACCCACATGCATAATTGCATTTAACATGGTCTCTCATTTATAAAGTTCAAATTTCTAATAGGGATATTAAATTTTGATAAATCAGCTAAATGAGCTCTTACTATATTTAAAAGGCTGAGATGCAGCAGTCAGGACCTGGCGCAACCTAGTGCCATTTCTCCCACTGCACCTCTGCCTCCCCTGTCCCCCTGTGGAGACAGTGCTGGCGGGAACCAGCTTTTAAGCTGGTTTCCCCCAGCACTGGCTCCTGCTCCATTCCATTTCTGCCCAGAGGTAGTACCCCGCTGACCCCTTGCTGCTCCCCCCTTTGCTGCTGTATCAGAGGCAGCGGGGGTGGGAGGGAAGTGACTAGCCAAGTGATTCAACTATCCAATAAGCCTAGGCTCATTTTCTAAAGCTCACTTTGCAAATATTGAGAAATATGGTGCCCAGAGCTTCAACACCTTTCATTTTTATTTCTTCCTGCCCTGTTTGCTTTCTCACAGTAGAGCAAGTCAATTACTTATTTTGACAAACGCAAAATCCAGTTTTAGTTCTTATGCTTAGATTGTATTTGTACCAATCAAGACCTGTTAATGCATCACTAAGTGTTTTGGGCCACTTTCCTGTCATAAGCACTCCCTACGGACTAGTTTTAACCTGTAGTTATTCAACGTGTAAAATGGGAAGCCATTAACATAAATTCACTCCTGACTATGGATGGTAGTGTTTGGTCTTGAGTTTGGTTCTCAGTAATGTCCTTACTAGCCCATGGATGAGAATGCAGTATTTTACTTTTCTGCAAAATGCCAGATGGAATGATGTCTAAAATAAATAGTATATTTTTGAAAGCCTCACTTGATGGAGCATATGCTAAATGTGGGGCTCCATGAGGAAATCAATAACAATAATAATAATAAGATATGAGCCCCCACATTGTAAGCTGGGAAACATTTTTCAGTTAATTCCTTCATCAGATATTTTACAGCTTGAACCACATCAGTCAAATTGACATAAATTTACTCTGTTAATAGTAGGGCCTCATGTCTCTCAATTTCTGCCATGAAACACCTTAAGGTTTCTCACAGGAGTGCAAATGATTTATTCACTGTCATGTGACAGGCAGAGTGCCTGAATTTCTTGGTTTTCTCACATTTGAAGTGATACCATTTTTCCTAATTTTTTTTCATAAAGTGTAGAAAAGTACTTTAAGCCTACAACCTCACCACTAATCTGTTTTCACTGTTTCTATATGATGAATTCCATTTCTTTTGAAACCTTGTATGCAGTTGTGTACTAGTGTCAATAAAATTGACATTTGTGTAACAACCTGTGGCCTTTCTCTCAGATTTAAGTGAGCAATGATTTAGCATGGAACTATGGAAAATTCTTTCTTGATAGTTACAGTAATACAGACAGTCCCCGGGATACATGGATCCGACTTACATCGGATCCCTACTTACAGACGGGGTGAGGCAACCCTGCACTAGCTGCTTCCCCCCAGCAGACCAGGGAGATGCGAAGCGGCTTTTCTCAGCAGACACCTCAGCTTGAGAATAAAGGACTGAGGGAAGTGAGGTGTCGGAGAATAAAACTGAGCTCTGGAGAAATGTTTGGCTAGAGTTTCCCCTACAATATGTACCAGTTCCGACTTACATACAAATTCAACTTAAGAACAAACCTACAGTCCCTATCTTGTACGTAACCCGGGGCTGCCTGTATAAAAACTTTATTTCAGGCAAATATTCCTTGTCTTTTTGTTTTATAATAGGGTACATAATTGTTATAGGTGTCTAAGCAAACAACATTTTATTGATTTTCTTCTTAAAACAGATGAACATTCCAGGATTAAAAAAAAAAAAAAAATTGTGCTAGCCATAAACCTGGGGTCTTTCACAAAATATTTTGCACTCATCCTATTGGCTTTATGTATTTATGCCATTATTTATTGGAGTTGAGTTGTAGTTATGGGGATTAACAGTTATATAATATACTCCAGAAAAGTGCTTGTGATAAAAAGCCCTTGACTTTATGCATGGATATGCAGACATTTACTTTAATTCTGGCCGATATGTTAACTATGGAAATCAATAGCTCGCTAGTTTCTCCATACGTTTTTAAGGTAACAACATGAACAATATGAAACTTTTCATGCTTTGAAAGATCCAACATAGTTTTTAAGATGTTTGACTTTTCATGGCATGTCTTAGCTTAATTGGGAACATGCCTAAGTTCATTTGACAAGCTGTTTCATTTGCAGTGTCAGTAATCTGGGTGCCTTCCACAAGACAAAACACTAATTTCAATACTAATAAAGATTGAATCTCTCTAGTCCAGCAACATCAGTGGTACAGCATGATTTTAATTAGCTGGCTATCTACTTTCCAAGAGTGTGACATGGTTCCTGCAGTTTCATAAAGTTTATTTACAGTACCAGTCCTGGTTCTCAGTGTTCTGTGCTGTTGTTTAGCTCTAATTTACCTCTACATATTCCCTAAGAGTCTAATAAGCAGTGTAAGTGTTGGTAATGCCTCTCGACAGTATTGATCCCCTATGGTTCAGCAAATTCTCTGGTTCAGCACTGTTCAAGTCCCAAGGATGCTGGACTAGAGAAGTTCAAACAGTATATCTCAACCTAAAGAAAGTGTAAATCTCAGTGATTTTTTTTTTAACTATACAAAATGTAATGGGGCTTTATGGGTATGGTCAACCAAAATTGTCATTCTTTGTGTGTTAAAAGTAATACCTTTTTGTGTAAATGCAACGCAAGCATTTCCATCCAAAACAATCAGAGGAGCTTGGAATGACTCTACAAGGTATAATAATATATGTACTTCTACTGTGTGTAGAAATGGATAGCTAGTAGTTTTCTCCCTTCATGTTAGATGTGATTGACATTGCATAGTACAATACCGCTTTAGTTCCTTAGATTCCCTCTAGATATACTTGTACTAATATCTTTCCCACAGCTTCCAGTGAAGTACTTTAGGTCATTTGCATTTTGGAGTTATGTAGTAGGAGGAAAAACAATAGCCATCGTTTGGCTTATTTATTGTGTTTTAAACTAATTGTAATGCTGAGAACATTCATCTGTTCTATGCATTCTCATTCATAGCGTAGGGTACTGTGTTGAGCTCATCATGAGTCTGATGTTTAATATTAACTTATGTGAGTGACTTATTTGTACCTTGAGCTCTTGTTTTATAGTGGCTGTAATTCTTCCTGTTTTATTAACTTAGAGAGCACTGGGCAGATCTTCAGTTGATATAAATAGTTGCAACTCCATTGACTTCAGTGACCTATGTCCATTTATACCATGTGAGGATCTGGGATCTTGTGCCTTTTAGCCTAATTTCCACATGATAATTTATGATCATTTTTATAAAATTCCTGGAGAGATGCCCTTGTATTAACTGCAATTTTTATTGTGTCTTTTCTTTAGCAGGTTCTCTGACTGGCAGCCCACACCTTTCAGAGCTCTCAATCAATTCTCAAGGTGCACCAGTGGTGGCAAATATGTCATTATCTCCAAACCTGAGCCCGGATGCCAAGCAGTCATCTCCACTGGTCAGCCCATTGCTGAACGACCCGTCGGGTATCAGGACTGAGGAGGAAGAAGAGGTCAGGAGAAAGGTATTGTGGTTGACTTTGCCCTTTTCTTCCCTGGGTGTATTATTTCTGAAAACATGGTATGTGGTTGATCTCTATAGATCTTAGGACTGTTAGATTTTGTGTTTTATTAAAAATTGTTGTGGCTACATGATTACTAATGGTTACACAGTTACTAAAATGGTCCCTGGGGGTGGAGCCAGCAGCCAAGGTGCTCCTGACCCTACTACTGAGGAACCCCTGCCACCCTGCACTGCTGCATCTGTATCAGAGGCAGCAGTGTTGGGCGGCAACAGGTCTTGTCCACGGGGACCCTAACCTCCCTGTGGACAGAGGCTGCTCCATGACAGTCTCCTCGTCCCGCTCCCCCTCATGTTGCTGCCTCTGATACATAGGCAACAGTGTGGGGATGAGAGCAGGTGTATCCTCGGAGTTGGTGCTCATGTGGGGCAGGCAGTGGGGGGTGAGGGGACAAGTGTTTCCACAGGACCAGCATGCACAGAAAGCCAGCTTAAAAGCCATCTCCCCATGCGCTTTGGCTCCTGCACACTCCCCCCTCCTCCTCCTCGCCCCC